TAAGGAGGAATGGTCTAATACTGTTTGCTATTAGGTTGGAGGTACTAAGTTGGAGGCCGTCGCTGGTAGGTTGGAGGCCATCCCTATTAACCATGAACACAAATGACGAAAGGTGTAATTATAGTTTGCTACTAGGTTGGAGGCCACTGCTACTAGGTTTGGTGTCGCTTCCAATCTGCTGAGGTCTCCTCCGCGGCCCAGGTGGTGAATGTGGCCACGCTTGGGTGTGTGTGTTATTCCTTTTTTTCGTGGAGTGAGTGACTCAATGTAGGAACATCTAGGAGCTCAATAGACACATGTTTTCATTATAACAATATGTTTATTTTTTAAAAAAGCAACGTCCAGTAGAATTATTGATAGTTGGAGATTGGGTCCATACAAACCATACACGTAGAGAGTCTTGTGTGGACCTTGTTTGTTTGAGTGGGGGTACTGTTTTCGCGAGTGAATCCTGATCTTGTTCATTTCCAGATCCATTGGCTTCCACAAAGGACTTCTTGCTTGAAGTTTGCCTCTTTTTGACCTTGAATTTGACTCCTAGATACAATCCCCGTGGCATGATCCTCTATAAACTCTAGGGGGACTACCTTTGCAACATCAAAACGTTTTGAGGTAGGATTTTAGGGGCATTGCCATGAGTCATGAGTATTATATGCATATATATATATACTATAGTCTATACATGTTTTTGGAGTTCTGAGGATTTCTGGATGCCGTGCTGAGTCGCTGAGGCTCAAACTTGCTCACCTCCGCGGAATGTTCTCGGCTCAAAGCATCCCAGCGCGTGGCTGTAAGGATGACAGTAACACATCGTGTCTTCTATTGGGTGGAGACCACCAGCGGCTCCTGGGTCAGCACCACAGATATTGCGGTTTTGTTTTTGGACTTTTTTTTAACAATACGTTTTCATGATGTTATCGTTTATATTCCGAAGATTCTCTTAGGGTAATTACATGTCATCACTGATTTAGACCCAATGGCTGCTCTTCCGTATGACCCCACTCTTCAGCCAGAGCCAGCCAATCCGAAGGAGGTTCCTCGGACCAGGAGCCTCGAACCGGTCACGGCCCGAGGACTCGAGTTCCAGCGCATCGAACCGGAAGAGGTCGCACGTCACCATGGCGTCCCAGTACCTCGACGGGGGTGGCCCCGCACGACGTGAACAGGCATTGGGAGGTAGCAGCGGCCGGTTTTGTGGGATCGAAAGGGAGGCTGACCTCGAAAAAGAATGAAGAATTAAGATCAAAGTGCTGTGAGCTACAAGCTAGGCCCTAGGCAAGCTGTTGGACTTGGTCGCAGATGTGAAGACGACCATCAGGCCTCATGAAACAACAAATGCAAGATCATGTGCTATGACTATGTGCTATGTGCTGCGTGCTCAATGTGCTGAGCAAGTGGACACAACGATTTGGTCGTTTGAGCACACCCCAGAGCTGTCCACGTGAAGAGCTGTCCGTCAATGTCTCTTGGAGCCAAGGCCAAAGAGCTGTTCACATACTGGCAGAGAGAGATCGATTGTGATGAGGCGAGGAGGATCGAACGGTTCAGTGATGAGGCACCCGTGCCCGCTATAAGATACGAAGGATTCCAAGAGGGTCGGTGCTGGGGGTAGAATGCGGTGGGTGGACCAGATTGATGGAGAATCACACACACACCTGCTTCTGTGAATGCATAGCATTGCATGGGCCTAAGTTTGACCACAAAAAGAGCCAGTTATAGCCGATGATTGAAATCGAGATGACTCATAAATGTGGCCCAAAAACAACCAAGGGCCCTCGACTCTGAGTCCATGTTTCCTGCGTTTTGCACGTATTTTCTAAATCCACATCATGCCCTCGACTCGTGTAGATGTTCTCATGATATGGAAACTGCTATGTAGCCCCTAAGAAGCCTTCAGGACCGGCATTGGGATGTTGGGACTGAACCAATGTTCCATGCAGCTGTTGCAAGTAGCTCATGACCAACTAAGAGAGTGGCTGGGGTTTGCTGAGCTTGGGGATTGTGCTGTCTAATTCAATTTACACCTTTGGGAGAGTGCAAGATGTTCTTGTAAGCATTTGCACGCCTACAATGATACACTGTGTGGCCCAGCCTTTCCCCGATGCCTTTGGGATATACCCTGTATTTGAGCCCGAGCCACGCAAACCCTGAGCATGTCAAGTCCTTTTTAGTTCACCCAGTCAAGTCGCTCCAGTGCGCTCTGTCACTGTGCTCGTAGAGAAGTTCAGTGCTGACAACTCTCCCAAGATACTCCGTCCCTCAGACACCACCAAGGGGACCATGGATGGACTCTACCCCGCACACTCCGGCATCCATGTGAGAAATGGATGGAGTGTGTTACTCCACCGCTGATGAAGCAACAAAGAGCCCAGGTGAGACCAAACAGAAACATCTATTTGGGTGGTTGAAATGGGCTCAATGCTTGTGAGTGGGTATGAAAGGCAATTAGAATATACCCCGTATGTACAGTGTGGCATGTGTACGGTGCGAATTAACACATAGACGGTCAAGCCGCGCCTATGCGAAAGAGAAAATGGCTACCGATAGGACATCACAATTTGGCAGATAGAGGGGCAGATAGAGAAACTAATTCCCAGACACTCCATGTATGCCATATATGCCTACATGGGGGTGGTTTTGGGGGTCAATGTAGGTATATATGGCATACATGGAGTGTCTGGGATGAATTCAGTTGAGGTGGCAAACGGTTGGCACATAGACTAGTCGCCAGACTTGATCATCCTGTGGCGATATTCAGTGGCGATTGTTCACTGAACGGCACTAGACTGAACGGACGTTTGGTATGAAATGGGGGGTTGCAGTCTAGATTGTGAGTACTGATGAACAATGTCCATAGTTTGTCCTGCGAGTGCAAATACTGGTCGGCACGCAATTCTTGAATTATGCTCAGCCCCAAATCCCATGGCAATCAGGCTTCGGCAAGCATGTTTAGGGCTAGGGTATCGCGGTATCAACCGGTGCTGACAGATATAGTTTGGAGGCTTTAAGCGCAACCACACGAAGGGTTTCTGCCTGAAGGCGGATACTTCGCTGGTCTGGGAGTACGAGTTTAGTTTCGGGAGATCCCATATCACAAGGTTCAGTGCGCCCTGAAACCGGGGCTCGAAACGAGGTTCGCAGTTCGCAGACCTGTGTGAGAGTTCCAGCAACAGAGAGCCAACTATATACACTCCGACGAACACATCACATGGAAGTGGATGGCATAGCCTCTTGCAAGACGATGAAATCCTCGAACCAACGCAGTGGGTGAACTCCACGTAGCGCCATGTGTTCGTACGTTCGTGGTCCATGCCATCATCGTGCGGGACAGTCCAACCTTGAGGTTCCATGTGTTGACCCGAAAAGCCGTCCATGCCATCATCGTGGGGTGTTGATCCATTGGACCGAACAGCGGCGGCCTCGAGGCGGTCCGGACCCTGCCTCGGACCTTGTTCATGATCCTGTTCTTTGCGCTGATGCTCTTTTCCCACGAGGCGGGTGAGAAGCGCTGAACGTGGCGCAAACATGGTCCGAGCTCGCGAAAACGAACGGCGGCGGAAAGGTCTCCAGCGAAAGCCATCGCGGTTTCCGCACGTTCGTCCTTTTCCGTGCGCGGTTTCGGGAAAGGTCCACCCAACTGGGAGGTTCGTGTGTTGGCTCAGACCGTTTTGGTTCGGGTGTTCAAGGTCCGGACGTGTTTTTGTTGTTCCTTTGCTGTTTTGCGCTTGTGCCACAGATGATTGGCAATACCCACAGCCTTGAGATTCTTGGATGCAGAAGGACCAAGAATGACTAAGAGATGAACGACAAAGCTGCAAACGGGCAGTAATTGCGCTAACTAATCCTAACTATCCCTAACTAAGATTATCTAAGATGGACATACATTGATATGACTCAATGACATGATATGACCCCATAAGGTTACTCGAAACGATTGCACCAGGACAACATCTGTTCCTTCATGTGATGTTCCTTCATCAGATGGAAAAGCCATGAAAAGCCAGCTGCAGATCGCTGGTGGAATATGTTTGGACTGAATGAGAGGGAGCGGAGTCGGCCTTTCTACCTACAGTAGATAAGACCATAGACATTTGAAGCTTCAATGAGCACATCCGTTGCTCACTCCTGCTGCCATCAAGATGCTGGGCAACCCTCCTTCCACTGTGCCGAAGCCCACTAGCCCACTTTCATTCCTCAAGAGTCAGACTGGGGACTGGGGAATGGATTGGTAAGCTTGTGCCCACCTGGGTACAGTATGATACAGTAATTCCTGTCAACGGGGCACTTCCAAATTGGGCTTTTTCCTAGCGGAACAGGGGCCAGTCAAGTTCTAGGCAGCCTTGTCTCCTATGGTTTCGTTTTACTTTTGTTGTCAATCCTGGTAGCATACTGAGCTGGTGAGCTGGACCTTAGTTCAATTAAATTGCTGGTGGCCGGTGGACCGGGTGAAATACAGCACAAAGGCACTTTCAGAACACCTCAGTGGCCTGGGTTTCTGGTGGCTTTCAGGCTTCCTGGGATGAATGTTCCGCAGGAAAACACCTTGAACACCTCTGAAACCGTTGACTTAGGTAGACCAGCAGCTCGCAGGGTAGTGGAGGGTCGTGGAGGGTGCCCACAGGATCCACCTCACTTGCAGTCAACACTCCGGAGGATGAACGCGAATCGTTCGCATGCGCTCCAGCAATGGACGATGGGACTGGGAGAGAGACTCACAAGAGTAGGGGCCGGGGGCAGATTCAATGGGACTCGGCTTGCACACACTGCAGAGCTTGCGGTGTAAGAGGCTGAATTGTCCAAGTGATAAACAAGAAACACATTGAAGTGTCTATGCCCTGTAAAATGTCTTCAGAGTGCCAAAAGGACACCCCGCCCCAAATTACCCGCTGTCAGGGTGTTGGCGTTTGGGACCTTATTGATTTCCACTTGAATGACCGAGGAGAGCTATTCGGTGGGACATTGACCCTTGGATGGCAAAAAAGGGCAAAAAGAGCACCTGCTCGTTGTCATGTGACTGGAGTGACCGACATGACATGACAAGCGACCCAGTTGACTGCATAGGAACGTCAAGTCTCCAAACTCTTTGGAGAAAGCCATTTCATCTTCCAACCATCCTTCGGTTCCTCGGTTTCATTCACCGCTTCGTGCGAAACTGAGGATCGAACGAAACATAGGTGACACATCGGTCCGACACCATTGGGGTTTTTGCCACAGAGAAAGCGGTGTGAAAGCGATCAGCCACATCCCCACAGACTCAGTGTTTCTTGGGCCATGATGGCACGTGCCTCCACGCCAGATTTGCCTCATGCGGCACGTGGTTGCAGGCACGCCGGACTCGCGCGGTAATCAGTTATAGGGTTTTCTATAGAGTTCTTCAGCATGGTCTCACTGTGTCCCATCCATCCTTCGGTGTCCGGTTTTTACACCACCGATCTGTTTAGATCGGCGATCTTGTAATTGAAGAAGCTGAGAAGGGGGCGCATGCTCAGACTGGCGGGGCGCATGCTCAGACTGGCCCAAATCGCAACAAAGTGGGTTGGGGCGGGGCTTCCCCACAAAACTTGTCCGGTGAATGCACACAAGCGAACGCAACATGTTTTTGGAAGCCACCCGCACGCAACATGATCCCTCCGAGGAAGAGAATGCAAATTTTGCCGTGAACAGCGTCGGCACCTTCGCGCATAAGAATCTCTACGATGCCACTGGGACGCTTCACAGTTTTTTTGGCAGGCCCCAAGAAACTTTCTGCTATCAGACTGCCAGGAATGACCCCCCATTTTTTGGATACCATGAACCAGCCGTTTACTAGAACTCGTTTTCAGACGCCAAACACCCGAGCAGCCGGTGAGAAAGCGGGAAGAAAGGTTAGTCACTTCCCACCATGGCTGCGGTGAGTTTTCCTCTTAAAGATGAACAAGATGAAACAAATAAACATATGAGACACTTGTAGTAAACATGGGAGCCGAGCGCTCGCTGTGATGCTGAACCAGCCACTCAACAGCGCGCATCAGCTTGCGCGCTGCGGATGGCCCGCTGGGACGGCTGTGATGCGGGCCAACGCTTAAAAGCCTCAACTTGGTGGTCTGAGCCATGGGTACCAAGAGAGGTTGAACAGCCTTATAGCCCATCCCATACGTACCACTATGGGGTCCTATAAGGTCTCTCAACCTCTCTTGGTAGTGAAATTGTTTGTTTTCTCCTGGCACCTTGCTGAGAAAGGTTGCTAGGGCGAAACCTATGTTGCCACGACGATTATGCACCCTGAGAAAAGACTTGGATACTAACAAGCTCCTCAAGCCTTTGCCCACACACTCCATGTATGCAACTGTATGTAAACCCATTGACCCCTGAAACCACCCCCACGATACATATATATATATAGTTATATAGGCAGAAATTGGTTGGTAACAGTTGGAAGATCCAGGTATGTCATATTATGCCATACATGGAGTGTTTGGGTCGGTGTTTGCCCTGCCCGAGGTCAACAGCTTCGCCGACTTTTATTCCTGGTTTCGCCTAGGCGATCGCAAGGGTCGGGATCTGGGGGGCGAAGGGTTTGGCCAGTTCTGCTCTGAAGATGTTGGTTCCCTTAAGCAATAAAGGAAGAAAGCTGAGTATCCTCAACGTGGGGGCGTGGTTTACAGCTGAGTATCCTCAACCCGACATGATGCCCATCTCTGCTCACCTGCCTCACCGGCCAAAGTGGCGAAACGAGGCGTCCTGTAGGCAATGGATGTTTGCTGCAGGCAATTTGGGAGCTCGGCATCAGGGACTGTCAGTTGTAGCAACTGCAGCAACAATCTACAGGATCTACAGGATATACATCGACATACAGTTGTTTTTAATCTACAGTAGCCTCTATTGGTTGTACTCTGATAGAGTGCTGGATCATAGTCCACAACTCCAAGAACATGTGCGGAACAAGAGCATCCAAGATCATCCAGGACTCTAGCTGTTTCCTTTCGCTTCAACTCAACTTGCGTGTTCACTCGCATAAAGAGCCAGAGGCTTTGCAGCAATCTACATGCCACAGAGCAGCAGCGTGTCGGAGGGCTCCAGCCTCAGTACTGCCTCTCGGCATTTGACTCTGATAAGAGTGCCGACCTTATTCCAAAGCCAGTGGAGAGACGGTGTTCTCACTAAAGCCGACATCAGACACACGGCTGGAACCCCATGAACCCTGAATCAACAAAAAGACCAATCACGCTGGCTTCATGAACCTCACTAGTGAGTGCCTTTCATGACTTTCAATGTTGAATTCTACACTATTCCAACACTGGCTACGATGGAGAGAAACCAAGCACCCAACCGCAAGCAGTCGCCTCTTGGAGAGTCTCGAACCTTCGCTCTCCGGTCCGAGAGGGGCCAACGAACTGCCCCAAGGGCCAGGTCGACGAGTCTGTCACAAGCTTTCATGGTCTATTCTTGTTCTCCTCTCCTTCGGTCCTTCGGCTTGTCAGGGGGGCTTGTCTATCATCCACAGAGAATCAGATTGAAGCTACGAAGCGAGAAGCCTGGATGTAAACGTTGACCTCTTACCCTGAAAGCACTGTTCAATGGTTCATGACTGATGACGGCTTGATACTGCTTGTTTTACAATGTGTTTGTTTTCCCCCTTCATGGATCTTACTGGCACAGGTAGGAGCAGCAGTGTTCCCGCACTTGTTCTTGCACATCTAGCCCGCTGTTGGGCTTCATGGGGTTGATTTTTGCTTGCCAAACCATCGTTCGTTGGTCACAGTCCACAGTCACAGCACGGGTCTGACAGCAGCAACATCCACAAGAATTGACAACAACCCAGCAGTTTCGTGTCGCTGCCGCACGCTGCGAGGATAGGGGTGCCCCTCACACTGACCCAGACACTCCATGGGTTTTTTGTTGCCTACATCGGCCCCTGAACCTCCCCTATGTATGCAAATATGCCAGTCCCATGGAGCGTCTTGCTTAGGGACTATAAGGCACCTTGCTACTAGTATCTAGACTAGTAGCCTCCAGACCCGACCTGGCGCCTTCATGCACCTTCGAAAAGACAAAAAACACAGAAAAACATGTTCTCCCCGTCAGTGGCGGGTGCGCTCCAGACTCGCTGGCTACCGCACGGACCAGGGCAGAGGTCAGGATTTTGGCAACCAAAAATTGGGGAAACGGCCCGGCACTGTGACCAAGCAATTCGGTTGAACACCCCACCAAGAAGAGGCGAGACATGTCGTGAACCGTGTGTAATTTGGTCAAAGTGATTTTCGCAAAGGGCAATTTCTTGTCACAGAAGCATGTGTTTTCCTGCTAAAAAATCACATGCGCCGTTTCTTTGTTGAACCCTCAACCCTGCCTGCTGCCGCGCAACAGGCAGCCCTTTCGGCCCGGGAGAAGCAAGTCTACCGCGATGTGAAACGCGTCTCGGCCGGCCTTTTTGGCGTAAAACATCATAAAAGGGTGGTTTCAGAGTATAGAAATTGCACAAACCCAAGTCCAGATACTCGTAACGACCCGCGCCGTACAGAAAGGGTCACTCGAAGTTAGGCGATAGCGTGCTCCAAGCGACCGCTGGCAAGGGACTGTTCATGTAGGCAGTTGCTGCAGACAAAAGTGCTCTGGAGCATTTTGCAGCCGATTCCTTGCCTTGCACGCCCTCAGGAAAGCTTGGGCCGGTCAAGCTGTCGCAGCAGACTGCCAAGGTAGGGCAAGCCAACCTTGACAAACTGGATTGTAAATTGCTGCGTGGTTCTTGGAAGCATGACTTAGCACTTCTGGTCACCACTTTGTTTGTCTCAGGCGCGTGCCAGCCTCTAGTTAAACACCTGGCTGGAAACCATGGCATTCTTCATGCAACATGCATGATTACATGATTATATACATGCAAATGAATACAAGTTACATGACATGCTTTGGACTCTGTGACTGCTCGTTTTGTTGCTCTAGCTGTTTGTTCATCTATACCGTTCGCAGCCTCGAAGGCTGTCGAAGATTCAAGTGCAAAGCAACGCAAAACGGTGTGTTCGCACACTGCCTGCAGGCCACTGCTTGCGACAATTTTGATTTGCTGCAGGCCATAGACCCCTGAAGTTGTTCAGTGCATTTTTCATGGTTTTACTGTTTTACTTTTTGTTTTGCATGTCACTACGTGTGCAATGTTTTGCCTTGCGCAGAGCGTTGTTCTTGAACAGTTCTTTTGGTGCACGTTGTCCTCATCCAAGGACAATACAACCACCAGTGACAGTTGTTCCGAATTAGGTTCGGCTGACGCAATGAAACTGGACTGGTCGCATTTGTTTTGTCGTTTGGAAGAGGTTGTCAAACAGTCATGGTTTATTGTTTTTTTGCACAACTAACGATGTTTTTGGCGCATCGGTTCTCACTTCCTTCTGGCCACCACTGGCTGGATTTCCGTTCATGCAAGAGAACTTGTTTGACTTGTTTGTGTATGTACGCGTTTCTACAACTGAAACACATATTTTCCCCAAATAACGATAGTTTATAGGGTTCTTACTTCAAACAAACATCAGCTGGCTGTGCACGCTTTCGAGACAGGGTGTCGGTGCTTGGGCCAGCGCTGGTGTTTGTGAGCTGGCTGTCCGCGGTGTTGAGACATGGTGGCGGTGCTGGTGCCGGTGCGGGGAGCTTGCGCCGGTGCTGTGAGCTGGCCTGTGCGTGCTGTCGCGACAGGGTGTCGGTCTTGGTGTCAGCTGGTTGTGCTCGCTTTGGAGTCACGATAGTCACGGTGGTACGTGTCAACAGCTACAGAACTGGATGTTTTTTGGGTCGTTGAATTCTGCCCAGCTATTTGGGGTCTATGCTGTCTATGCTGGTGTAATTGTTTGGATTCAATGCTTGGACATCACTGAGCTTGTCCACACCTAGATGCTTTTCTGGACAGGGAAGGACTTCACCATTCAGCCCACAGACTTCGACGTTGGGTTTTTGGATTTCATTGAGGACTCCAACAAGACTGCTGCTTGGCACAAGAGAATCCAAATTGAATCCAACAATATTGAATGTCCATCCCATACCTAGCTTCACCTGGTGGAATCGTGTTTGCCTTGAAAATTCTGAGGTTTTTCTCGTATATGTCCTATGCTTATACCGTTGACTTTTCGGTTCCTCTTGGGCTACGCCCCTCTATTTTTCAAGAAACCGGCCCCAACGACTGAAACCGCGCCCAGAGATGGTTCAGCTTCTTGGACGATCCCAGCGACAAGATCACACAGCTGGAGAGGAGCAACTGGCTCAGCGCACAGACTGATCACTGGAAGGCCAGACCGATCACTGGACAATCTGGGGACAGTTGATTCATTTGACCCCTTTTGATGTGTTCACACAAGGGTGATCAGGAAACCACACCGGGGGGGGGGTTGTGTGTAGGAGCTGGAAACTGAGGAGTCTGAGGAGTAAGAAAGACGTGGAAGGTGCGGTTGGAGAGCACATCCAATCCGACAGTTGATTGGGTGTTCAGATCAGTGAACCAAAAAAACGCAACAAAACCGACTCGTGTTGCCCCAGATCAGCATGGTGCTTTATAACCCGGACTTTGACATCCTCACACTCACCGATATTCACTTCTTGCTGGCCCGCTCGGGACGGATTTGGAAGCAGATCACCTTGATGCGTCTCGGTGGTGACCCAGGTTCTACCCCGGTTTTGTCCCGAGGTATACCTAGGCGACCCAAGGTATACCATAGGCGTATTAGATCAATGATCCATTATACGGAGCAGATAGCCTCTCAGAAGGATCTTGGGTATGTGGTAGGTGGGTTTGGGAAGGCCCCGTGCATTTCTTTGGAAAAGACTTTTGAAGCTCAGGAACACACAATCCTTTTACCGTCTTGATCAGCCAGAGACGTAGCTGTTGTGAAACCAATATCAAACAACACCACTGTTGCCACAACATCGCGACACCTTCTGAAAGTCACTGTCCTGCAGTCACCTAAGGTCCTTGAAAATGAGACCTTACGCCAATCTTTGGTTACTTTGCTGGGAGATCCTTTTCTTCCTCAGCAGCTCGATGGCTCGGACTGGATTCGTTGGCACCGGATGTCACTATTTAATTTGCCAGTGGAGTTCTCTTTGATTGAGGATGATTGAGGTTGCTGGTGTGGAAAGTGTAGTTCATTTCTTAAAGCCTCCATGGAGTAATCCGCAACGGGTCACAGTGAAAATCTCATGCAACTGGTCTCCGCTGTGCTGCGTGATGTTCTTGCATCTTAAACGTGGACACTTTAGGCTGTCACCATACGCGGTGGGAGTGTATCGGCTGGAAAGTATTGATTTGACTTATAGAATATCCCAAGCATGATTAGAATGTGGGGTTACAACACATCGCTTACCAAAGTTATGGATGCTCATTGTTGCAACCAGAATTGAATTACTGTATAATCATTACTGTATAGTCATGTATGCATCCATGTTGATTCATACATTTGTTAAAATAAGAAACCGTCAATATTGGCACACGTGTTAAAATAAGAAACAGTCGTTACGTTACCTGAGATATGTTTTGTTCTTCTCTCTCTCACACAGTAGATGTGTTCATGTCTTGCATGGGGGCACACCTCATACTGAAATTGTGTGCGTAGTTTGTCCAATATTCAAGCACCAGCTTTCGCCCACGACCGCCTTGAGTATCTTGTTGGAGGCATTTTGAGCATCTTGGCGGAGGAAGTGCATCAAATCATCACCGGTGCCTTGGGCACAGACACCGTATAACACTCTTTTATTCCAAACGTTTGATTTGGGCTTCGTAAGACGAAGTGACTGGCTGACTTGCTGGAAAGATTGTCAAATTGAAATCGTAGGGAAGTAGCAAAGGATGTTGGATTGCTGTCGTAAATCCAGAGTGGAGACAACTCACAAGAACTGGTACAAGAACAGTTAATATAGTTAATAATATTATTATATATAATTGAACAAATATGGTGCATGAAACCCAAGCGCCTTCTCCGTCCGATGTTCACGAATCAATCTGTCCAAGATTGATCAGTTGAGTATGAGTAATATTGTGGGATATGTTTGGATTACACACGCGCTCACAACATAGCACTCAGGAGGTCGATGACAATGCACTCAAAAGCTAAGGGATTTTGGGCAGGTTGATGTATACGTTGACCGCCCTGGCTGTCCGAACGTTGGCTAAGCCGCTTTGCCTTGGGCTGTCCGAACGTTGCCGCCGCCTGTTCTTCGCGAAGCCGCCGAGGTGTCGTGCTGTCCGAGGTGTCCCGGTGCAAACCGCTGTGGTGGTCCGGACCACCACAGCGGTCCGGACGACGACGAAGGTTTGTCTCCTACGATACGAGACAGTATCCACGAGCTCGTATTCTTCTAGAGTCTAAGACCGCCCTCGAGACTGCTCACCACCTGTTCGTTGATTCAAAAAAACATATTGCAAAGTTCACCGTACACCTGGTTTGCATGACATCTAATCTAATTATCCATCCGTCAAGAAAAGTGACACAATATAAAATGACACTATTATTGTATATTCTTGTATAACTGTATAACTGTATAATTGTGTTTTCTTTTTTGAAATTCAAGAACCTCCCCTGTCCATCAATCGATCTACAATAATCGACATATTGAAATCACTCTCCACAGCTCCAGGTTTGATGTCCGAACGCGAGAGACGGTGCGTGAGATTCTTCCTGCAACTTGGATCCGCTTAGTGACAGGTTCCCTGTGTCTCCGGCGAAAACGCGGTTTTTCCAAAAGGTCCACCGCCAAAAGGTACAAGCCCACGCCTTTATGTTTTTTTTCCGCAAAGCAAACCGAGTTTGCGAAAGTAAGATATTGATGTGTGAAAGAACAACATATTCCAGTCCAAATGTGCCTTTAATTAAACTATGTTAGCTAATTAAGGCTAAGTATGATTGCTGTTTTCTTTCTGCAAGGTGGAGAAGTAGGGTTTTTCTGTGACACGATATGTTGGACAATTCATGCAATGCACTATATGGATACGGGATCTGTGATTTATGTTCACCATTCACCTGAGCTTTATCTTTAGTGTGCCCCCTCACTTGATACAAAGCTTTAGGTTGAGGTTTCTTCGCTGAAAGTCATGCGGAAATGAGTCACTGTGACCATTCAGTTGTGCTCAGGAAGTACATTCGTGTGTGGACCTTGATTGACTGGGCATCCATCATCATTGCCTTCACCTTACTAGGTGGGCGGTGGGCGTGGACAGATGAATGATGTTTCTTTGGGTGATTTTCAGAACATGAACAGAACCGTTCACCGGGGCATGCAGATCATCAATTCATGCATACCCAATCAACAAAGCAGGTCAGGATAGGTGCACCCTGGAGCCACTGCAGCTTCCTCTTAGTGCATGTTCTGGTCAGGCCGTATAGGCCGTATCCGTAAGGCCGGCTCACTCACTCCGTCAATGGGGCCCCAAAGATCTCTTCGTGGCCCAACCTGAGAGCGCCACCATGAAACAGTGACCAGACACCAGGGACACCAGCGAACCCCCGTCTTGGTGTTGGCTTGGTCGAACCACCTCGTGACTTTTGGAGACAAAGAAATAGTTACATTGACAAGGACGCCTGCAAAAGGGGTGTCCAATGAAGATCCACAAGTAGCGTAGGGTATTTCAAAAAATGAAAAACCACTTGAAAGGTGCTTGGCAATACAGACTGACCCATCCTGGCCATACTCCGATGGATCAACGGAAACGCCGCTCTTCCAGCTCGTCACGGTCGCTTCCGCCAAGGGCTTTGGGTCCACACGGTTCAGGAGCGGCATGCCTTGCAGGCGAGGCAATTGGGTCCCATGGGTTTCCCAATGGTCACGCTCAAGTGAAAGAAAGGTTCGGAGAATCTGACCTGCTTAACATCGTTTGAAATCATCTGACAGCCATCATCCACTAGAGTTGGACACCCACGATGTGTAGGAACATGCAATTCCACGATGCGCTTGGTCAATTCTGAGGCATTTGACAGAAAGCTTTGAACACTAAGAGAACATGTCACATGAACCTGCAGGCTGTGGTCAAAACATGTCGAAACTATCAGACATCCAGCCAAATGGTCCCATGACAAAAGTACAACAGCTTGGCTTTACCTTGTTTTTCATTTGAGCTCAACACACCTTTGATTTTGGTGGATATTGGGAAGCCAGATGCGCCGCGGTGGCAACAGGCAGCGTTGATTTCTGCAACCAGAAGCTTTGTGCACTACAAAGGGACCACCGGGTTGTTGAAACGGAGGTCTCCTACAACGGGAGAAACACAAAACTCATCTCAGCTTCATCGAACGCTTCGTTTGCCAGGTGTCACTGCAGACTCTCCTGATCACCTGCAACTCGGGCAATCAAGCACAGTGCCAGGGCTACCAAGGCCGGGCCTGCAACCGGTCTGACCTGGGTTTTCCCTCAGGTGAGCAAAGAGTGGGGCTTATCCGAGTTGGTCAGAGGCTGTCTTGATTGTTCGCAAATCCAAAATAAGTTCATTTCTTGGACCGGACCAAGGTTCAATGGGATAAACGATGGCTTTGGTGATATGGGGGGAATACCGTTTTCCAGTCAGTGTGATCGTGGAGACCAGCGCAGCATCTTCACAAACCCTGCGCAATTCACCTCAGAACCCAAAATCCATGAGCTCCCTTGGCAAACAGGAACTCTGAATTTCGGGAAGATCTTCAGGTTTCAATTGATCTCGCATGTGTGTTGGGTGACTCGCCCCCCGGCAAAAAAACACGCACCTCAGATCACCTCAGTGTGTACATGGACCCTCCAGAGTACCTTAGAAAATGGGACATGACCACATAAAGACAGATACTTGTACTTTGAGATTCCAGGTAGTACAAGTACACTGGTATAATATATTCAAAGACATGACGCTGCTTTTGGAAAATTGTACGTAGACACGTAGTATAAAGACATGACTCATTTTCCAAAAGTACTTTGAGATTCCAGGTAGTTTGACGTTCTTCGTGGCCTCCAGCGCATCCGTTCCCCGACTTCACGATCCGTCGCCCGTCAGATGATGTGGTGCGAATGGCCACCGCTGCAGGGTCGTTGGCGGAGCAGACCACCTTGGCGCCATGGCCAGCTGTTTGGGGGGCATATGGGAGCATGCCACCGGGAGCTGCAGGCACATAGGCAGAGCAGTTTGCACATGTAGCAGTCAAGCATGACCTGTCAGATGAGTTGGGGTCTTCGAGACACTGCAGAGAGACCTCATTCGGTTGGTTTCGGGCTCTCACGTCAGGTCCGATCGGATCGAAGCAGACGACGTCCGTGGCGGTGGAAGCCACGGCTGTGGCGACACTCTTTGCATGTTGGCCCAGTGATGTCCGATCTTGTTTGGGGATCCAAAAACCATCCCAAAATCCGCGCCTTTCGTTTGCGTGACAAAACCAGATCCTGGACATGTTGAGAAAAACTTTCACAAGGCGGTCAGAGAGCGGTCAGAGACCCACAGTGGGCGGGCTTCCCTCAAAGCATCCCTCAAAGCCTCCGGAGGCAGCATCCAGATTTGCCTTTAAGCAATGATGTCTAGCGGCTCTAGCTTGAAGATGCAGGTTTCTTTTGTGTTCGGGATTCTGCATGAGGACTGCCAGCGGGGTGTGAGAGAGACAAAGAGTCTTCCCTTTTGTGATTAATGTTTTGTCTTGAAACCATGTTTCATGTTGGATGATTTTGAGCCACTGGTAGGACAAGTAAGCAAATTCTAGATACATAGTTCGATAGCTGTGCAGACAACCCCGGCAAGAATATTGAAAGGAACCAAACAACTCCTGGAAGTTCGCGAGCTAAGCAGCTAGCGAAGTTCGTAACACAAGCCACAAGCTATAAATTGATTGGTTGTATGCTTAATTGGTGAACTAACGATATAAATCTAGCTAAGCTGACTAGAAAAAGCAGCCGGTTCACTGACTTCCTGACCTTCCTGACATACTCTTGAGCTGCCACCCTGCCGAGCCCGGGGCCAAGGTCAGCAGTGGGACGCTCAGATTTGGAGCACCAGATACGCTTGGCTTTCGCGGTCCCAGTCAGTGGTGAATGGGGTGGTTCAGCCAATTCGATAGACGAGCCAAACATCAGTCAGCGACAACCGTGCTTAGAAAACATAAGACCCACAAATACGGTTTGATCAGTGGTTTGATTGTTTTTTGAGCTGTTCTTTTGTTGACCAGGATTATGTGTTGGGTCCAACTGGTGTTGTCTAATGACCCTTTTGTTGGCCTTTGTGTCCTCCTTGAAGAAACAGCATAAGCATGGTCTACAGGCCATGGTCAAACTCTATTGAAAGATGGCTGAAACCAGTCAGTCCCACACATTCGCAGCAAGTCCCAGCACTATGACGCATCGGAACCTTCAATCAGATGATTGCTTTCAATTTGTGGCTTTCCGGTCCGGAGCGGAGAAGAAGAGCTGCGGAGCTCAGGTTTCTATCCTTTTTGCATTCTTCTACGGCTCTTCAAGACCTTCACCTTGCAGCCACGCTTGGCAGTTTCTGGGCGCCGTCCATGCGTCCGTGGCATGATGGTAATGGTTCTGTCAATCCTGCGAAGTATAGCCAATGAACTGTTCACATGTCACCTCCCAATTTGGAGATCACCTGGCATGTTTGCAAGTTTTGATGATATTGAACCCTTCGACCACCACTCGCTTTTGTCAGGTTTCTTAACGTTCAGACCTGAGGCAAACGTTCAAAATTTGAGGGGTGAAGAAGGTGGACTCCTGTCCAACGAGCTTAACGTAAGCATCCTAAAGGACAGATACTTTTCGAAAGATTGAGGCTGTTGCACTTCTTTGCAAAGAAAACAGAACCAAGTGGATGGGTTGGTGTAAAGAGATGGGGAATGCAATCCTGCAGACTTTAAAGTCTGGTGTGAGGCTGGAGGCATCTCATGCGAACCCAAGGATTAATACGGACCGTTGGACGCCACAGGCATCCAAACCCATTTTCAACCCCAGACCCGCTTGGAAGCCATCCAACGGTCGTTCTTTTAGCTGTCCTGTTTTGCCGGGGACGAATTCAGTTGGTTAACCAATACAACCGGGTCCACAGCTGGGTCCACAGCTTGCTCCAGCTAGTCCAAGTTAGAGCGTTTCTGGCTTCTCAAGGTGGTGAGCCGCACCATTTGGGCTGCCTTCGTGGATTTAGCCGCTTGGAGATGCCCCCGGGACCGGACGCGGGACCGGGCCGTGTGAGAACAGGATGGAAGGGACCCGAGCGAGATCAGCATGGAGAAGCTAGATCAAGAGAGTATCCCTATGTCATCCCTATTTGGAGCGTGGCCGATCTCTGCCTATCTTGCTATCTTGCCATGCTCCCTCAATGATAAATGGAACATGCCGTCCGCTGGAAGGCATTCAGCTTGCTTGTTGGTTCAAGGAGAATATATTAATTTTCCGCCCTTCAGCAGGTCTAAGTCCAAGTGACCGAATGTATCCAGAAGCCTTCATGAGCTTCAATTGGCAACATTGGAATAGAGAAGTGAGGCCAGTGAGTCCCCTGTTCCAACGGGTGTTCGTCTTTTTGTTTATGTTTTCCCTTTCCAACTTGAGGCTCCAAAGCTCCTGAAACACACCCAATAAGGCGGTTCTGGCGGTTCCGCGCCCGGTTTCTTCTTTCGGCGCCGGGGCGAAACATCTGCTGGATGAGTCGAGTGAGAAGCCCATTTCTATGAAGCCCGCTGACCATGGGCTGCCCGCTTCATGGGCGTCCCAAGTTTGACATTGAGAGGAGTAGATGGCACAGGGGCCCACAAGTAACGGTGGTTTAGGACTGGACCCCCGTGTTTTCAGGACATCTTGGGGGAAACGTGCCATCTACTCTGAAACCATTGTATTTGTTGTGCGTTGATTTATCCTCTTAGCAGTTGGCAGTGGTGGGTTCTGACTTCCAGGTGGGGTCAAATGCATGAAAACGGAAGGTCCGGGAAGGGAGAGCAGACCACGAACTAGACCAGGGTGGTTTGGGCCTCACCGCCCACAAGGTGACAATCTTCTTCAGAGAGGAATTCACTTGGGACCACACTCAGGTTCACTTTGGTATCATCTTTGTGTCGGTGTTTCTGAGCTTTGTCTTCATGGCCATGGGCTTTTTTCGGCAGAGCCATTGAAGGCTCAGACTCTGCGGTGGTCGAAGCCAAGAGTGGGAGGTATCCCAAGAGCAATTATAACTAAGACAGAATGACTGGGCAACTGAAGGAATATCTAATACAGAATGACTGAACAACTGAAGGAATAAGTAATACGGAATGACTGATGGAGTCCAGTTGGTGTGGCATTAAATTCTTTGCATATCTCAATCAAGGTGGCTTTGGGCAATGGATCCACCGGTGTATGTCATACCAGCTACAACGCATCACTCAAGCCCTGACATCACTCGAGCCCTGCGTGGTAATGTACCAGATGCACTGGTTTGTTTGGGACCATTGCATGGTTTTGTCGGAAGGGCGCTGCCGGAAGTGCAGCCAGAGCAGTTGCTTCAGTGCCTGATCTTCCTGACCCTTCCATTGTGTCAAGATGGGATTGTTGGATGACGCGTGTTGGTTTTCCAGGTCGAGCTTTGCCGCTCTCCCTTCCAAATCAGTTAGAAGGTTCCATTGGATCAGAAGGAACCAATCCTGCACAGGTTGGATCATGGTGGTCAGGACACCTGATCCATTGGAAACATGGTTACTTTATATTACTGGAAGAGATGACTGGGTTTGATGTTCTCCGGTGAACTCCATTTGCTGATATTTAGTCCATTAAGACCAGGCTTCTTAAGCCATTCCAAGGGATCGTTTTTGGTGAGCTGGATGGACGATGTGGTGCAGCTGGATGTTTCAACTTTGCCAAGGAACCGCTGGTTTTTGCGGATCAAACTTAGATACGAGTTAAACACCTGCAGTTATGGCTTTGTTTCATGGTGTCCATTGTTTCGTAGTCTATCGCTCTGCTGATGTGCCAGGCTTAAAAAGGCGCTGGTATCACAGGTTTGTTTCGTTGCAGCCACAAACCTATCCAAGGTGTTCTTTTTGGCAGATGATTCCAGCTCGCTTCCGTTACCTGGCCCAGGGGTTACCTGGCACCCAGGAAAATTCACCTGAAAGCGGCTGTGATGGTGATGACTACTGACTTACTCTCCCTGGAATTAACATGGAAGTGGAAAACCACCAGTTTGTCGTGGATTTCATGGTCTTCCGAACTCGGGGCCATGGCATCCACTTCCATGTTAGTTCCAGGGAGTGTATGGTGACCTTCTGGTGACTTGGACTCATGACCAGCCCTTCTCTGGTGACCAATCCTTCTGTCTGCATGAATTGCATTGGTGACGTGCGAGCCTGCCTCCGTGCTCGCCACCAGGGTGCAGTGGTTACTCCAACTCCACCAAATCGCTGCCGTTGGAGGTTACTCGAGCCTCAACAACGCCTTTATCACTCTCTTCCGCGCCTTGATGGGCGACCTGGACTTCGAGGCCATGGAGGCACAGGCAGGCCGCTTCATCGCCCCTCGGCGGGCAACTGAGGTCGACCTGGGTGCGCGGTTGAGCTTTGACTGGGATCACTGAGGTCCGGTGGCTTGAAAAGCGCCAATCCTTTCAATGAATTAAGATGAAGAAGTCAACATGGGCTGTCGATGGCTGTCGTCAATCATCCAATTGCTGTGCATCAGGTCCATAGGAATGTTGATGGAACGGTTCAATATGGTTGTATACGAAGGGGGGCAGAACATGCATCAGTAGGCGGCACAAATCATCAATGCCATCATCATCCTTCCAGACCCAAATGTTAAGAAAGGGTGGTCTGGGGTCAATCAGTTCGTGGGTTGGCTCCCCAAAATTCGAGAGCGAGCGGCGATGTTCTGCTGCGAAACATGCCATAAATGTTCTACCCAACAACTTGTGTTTCTTACCTCCGGACAAGGGGAATGCTGGATGCACCTCCGGATGAGGCGTTCTGGCGTTCTTTCACCGCTACTACAGCTCTCCCAGCTGACTTGACGAGATTGGGCAACTCATTTTCACTCAACATATCACTCATTTCCACTCTTCCCCAGAACACATCTCAGCCCCTGTTCTGTGCAGTTGTTTTCAGGCTAATGATCACCCAAATGAGATCAAATCAATGAAATCAAAGGAGATGGGTTGACTAAGGCAACCAAATATCCTTTTCAGGTGCCAAGCAGCACAAAGAAGGCAGAACAGAAGACGGCTTGCCCTCCCTCCAAACAAACATGGAAATGGAGTTCTCTCCTTTTTGTAGAGCAAAATGGTCTTTGCAGGGACCATTTGTTCGACTTCCATTATTGTTGGAGGGAGGGTAATCCGTTTTTCTCAGGTGGTTGCTTCATCCACCAAGGCAACAGTCTCACAGTGACGGAAGTTTCGAGGCTGGACTCTTCCATTTGTCCTTCATGGTGACCATGGTGCTGATCCTTCTGAACATGTGCCTTAGAACACCAAAGCGGTGCTCGTTGGGCTTCTGGCAAACAGAAGCCACGTTGATTTTTTTTACTAGTAGGTAGTCTTATGATGTCTTATGGAGAGTTTCAATCCTAGGTTTCTTTGGGCACGTGTTCTATCTACCTGGAGACCCATCTCCAAAAAAGGTAGGAAAGAAGCATCCAAGCCACCTCAGGGAATACAGTTTCAGATCCGTTCGGATCCATTACACTTTTCTGGTCTCGGAGCTAGCTCCTAGGGGGAAACCCAGCGGATGAGAGCGGTCGAACTGATGTCCCGAACCCCAGGGAGTCGTTGCCTGGGAGGTCCCATTTTAACCTAAGTCGTTGGCCTGATGCTTTGGGTTTTGGAGGTCTAAGTGATCATGTAGCTGCAGGTAGCACCCTGGAGCCAAGAGATAGATCGTTTCGTTGTTTTTAGTATCCTGGTATCATGAAATATTGACCAATCTGAAAGAATGACCAGTTTCCTCTTTGGTTTTGGAATGTATAATGAGTCTCTTTACTCCAGAATGACTGAGAAATCTTAAACAAAAAAACGAGAACCAGACCAAGCACCTGACTCTTGGGCCCAGGAAGCTTGCCTTGTGGTCGACCCTGCC